TCCTTTGATGCACAAAAGTTTTCAATGTTGACAAAGTCAAATTTATTTATTTTTTCTTTTGTTGCTTTTGTTTTCATTGTTATATCTAAGAATCCATTGCCAAAGTCAAGATCAAAAAGATACACACTTAAAGTTTCTTTTAAGAGTTCTATAGATTTAGCTCTTATATTTAGGTCTTTGATCTATTTTGAGTTAATTTTTACATAAGTTGTGAGGTAGGGATGAAAGCGCAAACTTTAAATCCATGACCCTTCATAATATTTTATGATTAACTCTAGGCTGATATATTAGATTGTTTATGTAAAAGGCCTTGGCATTCTCAAAATGAGTACTTTCAGTTATCCTTAGCGAGTGACTTCAAAAGGTCAGGACACACGGTCATTGCACTGTCCTGAGACATGCACTTGGACCCATCAGGCAGCGAGTCAGGTGTCCAGAAGCAAATCCCTAAGCAAACAACTGAGCTTATTGGGCCTTGGCTCCCCATCTTCTCCTGACTTTCTTGGTCCCAAAGTGTTATCCAGGTTCAGATATTCTCACTAGACTTGAAAGTGTCACTTAAATTCTAAAAATTATACTTTACTGCATATAATGTACAGTATTATTAACAAAATAGACTTTCTGTGACAAGTCTCAGCACAGCTTCAGTCCTTGGGGTGGCCAAGTACAAGTTGGAGAAATATCCATTAAGGATGAAGGAAGAGAGAGAGGAAGAAAGAAAAGAAAGGAAGAAAGAAGGAAAGAAGGAAAAGAAGGAAAGGAAGGAAGGAACGAAGGAAGGAAGGACGGAAGGACGGAAGGAAGGAAGAGGCAGGCAGGAAGGGAGGGAAGGAGGGAGGGAGACAAGAGAGAAAGATAGAAGGTCCCAGGCTTAGAGGACTGGAAAGAGCATCTGGTTGAGAGACGCCACTAGGAAATGCTGCCTCCAAAGCTGGGCTCTGAATCTATTGCAATTATCTATTGACTCGACTTACTTATAATCACCTGTCCTTATGTTGTCCTTGCTGTCTGCAGTACAGTAATCATTAATCAACTCGCCCTCTTGCTAATGCAGTAATTCACTGCTCTGGGGACTCTAGGAATTTGCAGGACGCTGAATTTTCAAGGCTGTAGCTAACAAAACGCCTTCCCGGGCCCGGATGTGCCGTAGGGAAAGCAAGAGCTGGCAGCCGCCTGCCTCTGTGTCCCCCCTAGGGAGGTGCCCTCTGGCCGCACGATGACTGGTTTATTTTCCATTCAGATGTTCTCTTCTAGATTATAGTTGTCTTAAACAGGGCAAGTGAAACAGTATCTGAAGCCATTGCCAGGGCAACCTGACAAAAGACTTTACCCTCGGTGTGACAGTATATGTAATTTGTCAAAGGCAGCTGGCTCAGGGAGAGAGGAAGGAGAGAGGAATAGGTCGTTACTTTTGGTCTTTGAAAGGAAAGCTGAAACACTATCTTCAGGTTAAATCAACTGAAACAGAACAGGAAAGCAATTGTGACCTGTGCAATAAACACTCAGAAAAGTCAGTTTGGGAAGGCTGAGAGGCAAACCTTAAACCTTTTTTTCCCTGATGATCTCTGTAAAATAGTTGCACGTCAGGGCTTTTAAAACCAAGTGGCTTGAAGACCTGGAGCTGAAAGTAAGCTCCAAAGGGGAGAGAGGGCAAGAAATTGAAGAAAGCAATCAGGATGTTCAAGTACATTAGATGCATGGAAGCTGGGAGTTCTTGACACATCTGCTAGCTCTTCTCTCCCCAGACCATAGCCCCTCCATGAGAGCAGCCACTTGTACTGACACCAGCATCACAGAGCTCAGACCAGCTTCAACCTGCTCATGGTATCACTGAAAAGACAGGCCCATGAAAGATAACCAGCTCGAGGTTACCCAGCTAGGAAGGGGCAGAACTAAGCCCAAAGCCCTGTCTCCTGCTTCCCCGTGATCTTTCCACTTATCTGATGCCTCTGTCCTGTGAACATCAGTTTATTCTATCTTCGAAAGAAGCATAACCTGGACAGCTTTCAAAGTATGCCCCATGGAGACAGGGGCCGAGCTTGGAGGGCACTGGGCATCCCCTGCTCTCAAAGGTATACCTCCCTTTCTGTTTTTATATCTATGGGGGCCCCACTGAAAATTATTTAAGGGAAAATCATTTTTAAAAATCAGAAACCAAGAAACTTTTTCCCTCACCTACAATGAATAGTGTCATAATAAATACTTTCTACGTGTTAAAAAAAGAAATCAGAAACCAAATTGGAATGGATCATAACAATGCTGACTCAGAGGTTCTACCCGCCTCTCCCCACCGCTCCCACCTCCAGAGCCCCTTGGGCCTCCTTACCGAGTTGGTGCCCAGGATCTGCAGGTTGGGTTTCTCCGACTCAAGCAGCTTGGCCACCATCTTGAGGAAACTCTCCACGAAGAGGTTGATGCTCTGGCAGTGGCAGGCCATGAGCAGCTGGTCCAGGGCCTCCATGGCGATGCACACGTACCTGGGGAAAGTAGCACCATGGCCATCACTCCGCCTCACGCCCACGCCACCCCCGCTGCACCAGCTGGGCAGCCTCCAGGTAATGCAGCTCGTCCACAGGTTGTCAATGTCTGGAGAGCTGTTCCAACAAGTGCCCACTCCGGCCCAGCACAGAGAATCAGAAAGAATCAGAGCTGGAAGGAAGCCTAGAGGCCAATGTATTCAGCCCTTTATTTTACAGATGAACATGAGGACAGACGAGGTATAGCATTTCAAGAGTAAATACAAGCTGAGAGGATTGATGCCCTGAAGAGCAACTTCTGAACCCAAACCCAGTGGGATCAGAGAACTATTCAGTCTAAGTCATGAAGTGTTTGTTGAGCATCTGCTGAGGAAAAGCTCTGTCCTAGTCAGTGCAGAGGTGTAGGTGCGAAGAAGTCCTTCAACTTAAGGAGTCTGGAGCTGGAGAGATACACGGATATCTCTTCAAAAGGGAAAATAAGAAATGCTACAAGAAAACCACGCACGATGTCCCACGAGGGTTCCAAAGAAGGAAGGAGGCTCCAGTGGGGAGGGAATGAAGAACTTTCTGCAGAAAGTGTGAAGTGGCCTGGGTGAGCAGACTGCAAAGGCTAAGGAACATCAAACTGCAAGCTTTGCACTTGCAGCCCTCAGAAGTTCTGCAATGAAGCACCGCGCAAACAGAATGGTTGACAGCACTACCGTGTCTGATGACACTTACCCGGGGAGCATTTTTCCCTCTAGAGGATGAGCTAGACACAGAATAAAAATTCTTTTCTCCTTATGAAGAAGGTGCTCTGTGTCAACGCTGAGTCCCTAACTACTTAATTCTTCTAAAGTCTAAAACCTGAGGGAATACGTTCAGAAACTGGGAAGACAAAACACCCAATGGAGAATAGCTTACCAATTACATCAGCCCATCCCATTTTTTGACAACCAAATAAAAACTTCTTCACATTTCAAGCAAACCCTATGTGAGCTGGTGTTGAGATGAGTTAAGGCCGTGGGACCCAAGGCCACGATCGGAGCATGTTTGTAGTATGCAGTAAATAATTGCTCCACGCATGCGTCAATTATATAAGATTTAGAACAAAGAAAATAGAAGTACACATGTGCTAGAGATATTCTGTAAGCCTAATGAACAAGAAAACTCAGACCGCACATGTGCTGACAGAAAACAGATAAAAGCAGGACAGGTGCATCACAGGCGCACCTCCCTGTGGCAATAAAGTGTTGTTAACCCCATGGTGTCTCCGGTTAAAGTCTGTCCAGCAG